TGATTTTTTGTTTTTTTCAGAACATACTTAAATAACCAAATTCAATCTTTCCCTGATGTTAACACCAAATTTATTGACATGATTACCGTATTTTACATAACATTCCAAAGATTTTTTCCTCATCATTCCTGAAAGTAATCATTTCAACATATTACATTGTCTCACTTACCATTTCAGTGGTCATTACATTGTTAATGTTTATAGGAATGGAATGACTACAATCTAAGATGGAACGAGTCAGAGTATGGAGGCGTTAAAGACTTAAGGATAACACCAAATAAAATATGGCGTCCAGATGTTCTCATGTACAACAGGTATCTCACTGATTAGTATTGCAAGGAAATAAATATATATTTATATATATATATATATATATATATATATATATATATATATATATATATATATATATATATATATACAGTTCTACTTATCTAATTTTATACTATAGGTTTTATATGTTCCAGGCAACATGAATTGTAAATTCTAGAAATATATAAATACTAAATCCTGGTACATGCAGAAGAGTGCCTAATATTTCTTAAAAATAAGTACATACAATCTTTAATTTTAGGTTTGACAGATATGGTTTTAGAGATATAACACACAATTTTAAATCATTTTTTTTTGTCTGTGCCAGTAAATTTGTAACAAAAAGATGAATGCAGAAGTATAATGATACAGTAGAAGGAATATGTCACACAAAGCTAGGACTAGTCTGTGGTACAGGCCCCTTCCTTTTTTATCAAATTACTATCTTCCACCTAAAACTTCGTAAATAGCTGCATCTCATCGTAACCTACAAATATTTTATTTACAAAAACTCTAGGAATTGGGCAGTTTTCAATCTGGAGGTGGGCAAACATAGTCTATTTAATTAGTTACTAAATAGACTATTTAGGCCCCAATCCCCAGAATTTTCATAAAGAAAATATTAGTGGGTTATGATGAGATGAAGTTATTTACGAAGTTTCAGACGGATGTTAATAATTTGATAAAAATGGGTCTGTACCACGGATTAGACTTTTTTAATTGCAATAATGGGTTAATAGTGGCAAACAATAATGAGTGGAGGCATAATTGTGATAGGTAAATTGGTAGAAGCTGTTGAAAGTGAGGCGCCTCAACTAAGAAATGAATTGTTGAGCTATTGAATGATAATCATATAAAGTTAACGTATAATAGAAATAGTAACACTGAAATCTGCAATTTCTAAATCCACTAAATAGTTAGTGTATGACAATCTACATAAATTTTTATTTTATTTTATAATTATTTAAATTTAGAACATACAGAAAAAAAAAAAGTTATACAGACATTATGCACTTAATAACGCAGTTTTTTTAATGTTTTCTTATTTATCAAAAATGGCATAGTAGCACATTATTGGCTCCGGTCTCTTCAAGCATTCTTCCTCAGAAAGATTGGTCAAGAATGATAACAGTATTTTCTGTGATAATATTGAGCTTTCAAAGCCAGGTATTATTTTTTTCTGGCACCACATTTTCAGTTATAAACTTCATTTGGATTTTTTAATCTCCCATTTCTACCAACACAGATATACGATTATATTTGGCTTCACTATGTTAGCCTCATTTAGTATGCAATATATTTTTCACTCATTCCCAATGTTTGCTTTATTTTAGCTTCCTAACTGTCCCATACATACTTCTATCAAAAGTAATCTTTGTTTCTATTGTTAATACTGTGTGGGAAAAAACAATTCTGATCTGATATTTATCATCAAATTCTGTTTCCTGCAACAAGTTTTTTATAGTTTGTATGGTTGAACTTGAATTGAAGTTCAATATTTATATATCAGTTCCCTTTTCCTTTACCTATTGTTCCTTTGTATATTTTATTATAGCAAGATTTTGTTTTGGTCCTGTTTTTTCATTCATATTGATTCTAGCTTATTGTTTTCTGTGCTCTGTATCGAACATTTCTGTAATTCATAGCCTGTCAACAGCTATCTTCCACTTGGCCTCATCTTTATATATAAATTTAAATTATGTTCCTATGGATATTCTTGATTAATTTATTAATTTAATGGTCATTCTTAATGCTAGTTTTGATGGGTTTTCCTAATGAATCCTATCTAATGAATTCATTTTAGATGCAAAACCTCTAATCTGTTTTCACTCAATTTCATAAAGAATTTCATATCAGCTATGGACAATTGTTAATACTGTGAGGAAAGAAACAATTCTGATGAGATATTCATCATCAAATTATATTTCCTGCAACAATTTTTTTTCCATTTTGTATAGTTTAAATTAAATTGAAACTCAATATTTATATATTAATTCACTTTTCTTTTACCTCTTGAAATTAATTTAATAGCCATTTTTAATACTAGTTATGATAGGTTTACTCTTTAAATCCTCTCCAATGAATTCATTCTAGATGCAAAATCTTTAATTTTTTTCATTCAATTTTATAAAGAATTTCTTATTAGCAGTGGATAAGTTAAGTCAAGTCAGGACAAGTCTTGTCTGAGCAAATAATTTTGATCAAGGGATTTCCGTGTTCATTCTACTAATATCACTAATCACCGGTTATACCCCAATATTAGTTGGTATCCAGACATTCCAAGGTATATATTTCATATATTTTATGATATTTTGATATATTATTTTAGCTTTGTTAATTTTAGTTAATTTATTTTCTATTCTTAAGAATTAATAATAATAACATTAGTTATTATTAACATTTTACAGTTAGTGACCCCAAATATATTATGTCAATGCAACATGAAGGAAGATTCCATTTAAATATTTTTTGAATTAATTAAAAATAAGGTACTCTGCTGAAATAATTCCAGGATAATCGATTTTTTTTCAAGGTCTCAATAGTTTTTTTCCATTAAAATCTTTGTCACATCTTTCCATACTTATGAAGTTCACATTTCATTTATCCTGTATGACCAAATGTCTGTGACAAATACCCTCTTACTAACACTCTTCTAGAGTTTTAAAATGTTAAAAGTGAAATACAATGCTTTTAACTATTGGAATTTATGAGGTGGAATACTATCATTAATAGGATAAGATCTCTGTATAGCTTGATAGTTGGAATTTTCGACCTGAAATATCTTTATCTTATTAATATGTTGATGTTTTACAGACTTTTCCACTTTAATAGTACTTTTTCTTAACTTTACTAATATAAATTTGCTCCTTCCTTATTTTCATGTTTAAGATTTATTCTTTCTCCTTCATGGCTATGTCCTGCCACATTCTTAATTTCACTTCCCCATGTCTTTTTCATTTTTTTTTTCTTCTGTCTCTCTTCTTCTTTAGTCTTCTCCTTGTATTATGAGTTTATTGAGCATTAACTGAGGTCAGCTAAAAAAAAAAAAATCTTCCTAATAATTTAGTAATAATAATTTATTATACTTGTCTACACCATCAAAAAGTTAATTTAAAAACTATATGATTATAATGTTTTAAAAAATAATATAATCTTATAAACAAAAAGTTGATTACTCAAAAAACATTAAAATTAGTGAATATAATATGTTTGTGTCTATTCCTCAATGTATTGGGATCTGGTGAACTTAGTTTATCCATAAACAGAATTCATATTGAAGATGTTTACCTATTTTTTTTCATTTCCGCAGCTTTTTAATGACTGCTTACTCATGAAAGTTGTAAAAATGGTATACTTTTTATTTTATTGATTTATTCAACAATGGTCTGGAGTGATAATTCAATTTTGCATTTGTTCTTATATTTGCCTACTGTTTAATAATGGTAATTTTCAGTAATATTAACAGTAGTTTATAAACTGAAATTAAACAAGGACAAATTGTCATAGTAATAGAAAATAATTTAACTGATGAAACTTGTTTTGAATATCATATTTGTTTACTATTTAACTTATAAATTAAATTAGATTAGGTGAATTACATTTATGAAACAATAAAACTGTTAATTTAATTTGTTTATTTATTTAACTCTTCTCTTTACTTTAAAAAGTTCTACAAATCCTAAATATTTAAAGTAAATATTGGGAATAGTGAAGGATTTTGAACAAGATTTACTTATTGGTGAAAAATGTTTTCAATATTGAAGTGGTACACTTGGTATTTTAGATATAAAAAAAAATCGGTACCATTACAACCCATGAAGGGTCTTTGGTTCAGTACTATTTAGGGAAAATACTGTTACAAGGCCAAAGGTTGTGCAGGGAGGGGATCGGGCCAGGATCACTCTCAACTGCCAGGTTTTCAAACTTAATCAATTATTTAATTAAGGGTACCACTTTGTAGAGGCTGGGTGTTCCTCAGAAGGGTCTCCCTACTCCAGGGTCGCCCCACGGCAAATGAAATAGAATAAATAACTTTTCTGCTATGAGCCAGGATTCGAACCTGGGATCTTGAGCATTGAAAGCTTAATGCCCTACCACTAAACTACCCCACTCCCCATTTAGATGTACAAAAGTTTAATTTATATTTATTCAGATTGTCATAAATTCTAGAAGATTATTCATACTTTTTTACATGTAATCAGGCACACATTTAAGAAGTTGTGTATGCCATTGTTCATTATCTAATATACAAAAACAAATAAAATGGTTTTGTGCATAAATTCCTTTTTAAAAAATAAATAATTAATATCTTAAGTTGTTCTATAATTATCATTGATAAAAATGCATTTCATTATCTTTTCTTCTTTGTGATTGTGTGTACTATATCAGGTTTAATACTATACTTACTTTTAACTACTTAAAGTGATCTCCTTATACTTGATCAATACCAGCTCCTTCATTCCTCAAAATATTTTCCTAATATTCCTAAATTAATCAGGAAATATTTAGAAAAGTAATTAAAAATATAAAAAATGAAAATCAACATATAAAACATATATGTATATGTATGATTTTATTATATTTGGATTTAGAAGTAATACAATAGCCATATTTTATTGTCCTATTAGTATATAATCAGGATTATCTGGTTGTTTCAAAATAAATAGCATTATTTTTATTTAATAGTAATGATAAAAGTAGCATCACTAACCAGTTTTCACTTCTCCATGATTGTCAGGTACTTCTGCAGGCACAACAAATATTCCCATTCTTTCATCTCTGAAATAGTTAAATGTCCAAACAAGTGTTATTATTGTTCAGATTTATAAACCAGCGTAAAGAACACATTTTGTTTTTGCTGATCTTTACTTCTAAGTATATTAAAATTTTGTTTATAAATGCACTTGAATGTTGTATTGAATTATTACACACATTCTAAAAAAACATAAAAATTAAATGAAAATTATAATGCAGAATTCTTCCTTAATTTTTGAAGATAAAAATAATAACATTTTCAGTTTACTTTAGGGGAATAAAGGAAAACTGAAGTTGACTTAATAGTATAGGTACCTTGTGAGATCATATTTATATATTTTTTTCAAATCAACTAAAGATCTAATGTTTATATTATTCCTCGTGTTAGGAATTTTGTAACAGGTTTGAAACAAATCCCTAAATTGTCCAAACGGAGTACCTATATTAAAATATTTTCTATATTTTTCCTTTCATGAAAATCTTAAAATAAATATTTCATGAGAATCATGAAAATGATCCATTCAGTCTCCTTTTGAAATTCTGGGGAAGAACAACATTATGGTTCTTGTTTATACGTATTTTATTAGTATCCCTTTTCAAAGCATTAAAATGTCATAAATCATTATCTATGTGTCAATGAACATTAAGTTTTGGTATTATTTTTTTAATTCTGTCTACAAGAAGTTTTATTTTGCAACAACCAAATAACTTTTATAAATATATTTATTTTTCCACTTACATGTTGAACTATTTTGGTTAAGTATATAATCAATTTATATTATTGGTGAACTCTTGATTTATGCTTAGAAAATTTTTTTTTTTGTTTAAAAAATGATTTGATAAAAAAAAAGAAATAATAATTTTACCTTGTCAAACTAATTGTGTATTTTTGATAATAAAAAATATAAATGAAAGTTCTCAGTAGGATTCTAAAAGCTGTAGTATGGAAAAATTATAATATGGAATGGATATAAAACTAACTTCAGCAATGAGGTAAAGATGCGGAGGCTTTCACATCTATTTATTATACTTTGCATGTTATTACTGATATCATTCTTGTTGAAAAATGGTGTCATAGTTGTTTTGTTTTTTATATTGCATGATTAAATATCAATATCCAAACAACCATTTTCAAAAATAAATTAAAAACGAACAAATTATCATATGCATTTGCCAATATTTTTTAAAATGATGATCAACATACTTTGATGTCAGTTAGATCATTTCATCAACAGTTCTTTGCATGTTTCTTGGAAATATTTTCTTAATGATTTTACTCCACAAGTTCAGTTAATAATTGGGAAATTCATTACAGCTGCAAGGTTAAGTTCAGTATATATTTTTTTAAGTTTATCGATTCTTTTTGTATATCACTAAACTAAAATTTTCATTCCATCAATACTTGGAAAACTCATTTTCAATAATCAATTTATCTCCCAATTTTCATCTCTATTTTAATATAACGAAATACAACATGCAATTGGAGTGATTTTTGTACATTTGATATTTTGTTTATTTTTTTTTTAATGGGCCAAATTTAAATGAGCAGTGTGACGATTTTCTTCTTCATCTTTTTTAAATATTACTTGTTGAATTATTTGATTGTTGTTATATAACATTTCTAATTAATATATTTTTCTATTGAAAAATATCTTATAAAAACTTTAAACAATTGTTTGGATACTTGATATTAGTTTAATGTAATGATTTCGTCAAAGGTGGCAGTGGATAGGCAGTATACCGTTACTGTAGCCCATCTCAGCTTACACAATGAGTGAATGTTGTGTACTTTGAAAGATGCTAATTGCTCTATTCCACTTGTAAATGAACGATTCATACAATATTTATGAATGTATATATATTTCTATTATTGAATTTAATGTAAATTACAAATATCTCGATAAATATTTGTATTTTACAAGGCCAATTTTGATAACTTATATTTGCTATATTAAAGTTATTATTAATTATATAATTGGTAAAAACTAATTAAAAGGAAAATTACTGTTGCATTTATTTTATAAAGTTAATAAAACATATTCAGCGCTGAGAGGCAGAAAAAGTGGCCATTTCTAAGAAAATGTATTTAACTATTGGTTATAACAAAACTTAAATATTTCTAGCATGCATTATTGCTAAACTATTGTAAAAGTTTAAATAAATTTAAAACAGAAGAATAAACATTATAAAAAAAATAAGGTATTAAAAAATCAATGATACTGTTTATTCTTGTTAACTTTGATCTCTAATCAATAACAATGTTTGTTATTTAATCTAAATAGATCAGATTGAAACTGAAAATTTTGTTAATTCTAATATTAAATCATTTGAATTTTATTTTAAAAATAGTTTTCAACAAATTGATTGGATAGTAGAATAAATACTAAAGGATGGTTACTATTTTTGCCCTCTCTCTGTGTTTAAAAATGTTAAATTTTATCTTAGTAGATATTAAAAATACATATATTTTTAAAAAAATGTTATTGTATATATTTTATAAAGCTGAGATTAAAATAGCTAAATCATGCCATATTATGTCTAAATATTCTGTGGAAAAGAGAAAGTGTTAGCTCTTTCAAAGATATGGTACTTTAACATAACCTTCGCCAAGGAAAAAAAATAACCGAAATTCTTTGGAAAAAAATTTTATTGAAAAACAAGAGTTCTACCAAATCATTAAATCAGAAACATGAGCTAACAAGTCCCCATTTACAATTAATTGATTCTCAGCTTATGATTTACAAGTAATTGGTTAATTTAAAAAACAACAAAAGTAAATATGATTTAAATACAATATTTTTATTTATTAAATTAAATATTTAATTCAATTCTTTAAAATTTAAAATACGCAAATATTGATGATAAGCTTACATTCAGGATGGCTTAGAAGCAGTATTTCCATACAAAGTTACTGATACAGGTTTTCGTTCTCTTAATAATCTATCATTATAATTTGAATTTCAGCTAATTAATTTAGATATATTTTACATTGTACTACTCATGATCACGTAATATTGATATAAATTAGTTGACTTTATAATAAAAGCAATATATTATATTTTAAAATATTTTATCAAGGCTTCAACAATAATGATTACACTGGCATATGCTGGCTGCATATGAAAAATGTTGTACTATATAGTTTTAAATACTAAATATGATCAGCTACTTTGATTATTAATATTTCAATAACTCTAGTCAATAGAAACATTCAATGCTCATCTCAACTAAAACAATAAAAAAAAAAAAGAATAGTTAGTAAATAAGTGTAAAATTAAGAAAAAAAAACTTTTAATTATTCTTTTGACAATATTAAGTATGGTGGTTTATTTTAATTGCCAACAATAACTATTTAAAGCAATTAACTTCTATACATGAGCTGAGAATCGGTCTCTGTAATGATAGGATTTTAGAAATGGTTTTTGATTGGAGTTCACTTGTTTTTCAAAAACCTGATTCTTCTAATAGTGCAGACGAAGGTTTTGATGGTACATACCATACTAACGTGGTGGTCAGACATAACGGTAGCTGCCTGTACGTGCCTCCCGGAATATTCAAGAGCACATGCAAGATAGACATTACATGGTTCCCATTTGATGATCAACATTGTGAGATGAAATTCGGTAGTTGGACCTACGATGGAAATCAGGTATTGATTGCATTTAATCGATAAAGATTCATAGAAACATCATTTTACTATGATGTTTTTAAATAAATGAATCAATTCTTGATTTAGAGTTAGAATGCCTTACTGAAAAGTTCTTTTTCTGAAGCATTTTATTATATTTTAATCAATATTTTTAATACATTTAATTTTCAAACCTTGGATTATAAATAAAACATAAATTTTTTTTATGATGAATACATACTTCCCTAATGGCTTGATTTTAGCTGTAAATACTTATGTTAAAGATTTTATTGAGCTATTAACTATGGATTTAATATAATGAAAAAATTATTATTCACATATAACCATTAATCATAACAAAAATGTTTAAAAAATTTAATTAAATGTATCATAAAACATTTGCTTATTCCACTATCAGTAGAAATTATTATTTTTTAAAAAGTCAATATACCTTTTCAATATTACTTTAATTATATATGTTGAATTTACTGTATTTGCCTCTCTAATTGCCAAAAGTTAATCAAATAATTTAATCAACCTAAGACAATTAATATTGAGCTTTCCATATGATTTCTATGAAATCTAGTAAATAAATATTTTCTACTACTATATTTCCAAAACACAACAGTTTTACATAAGTGATAACAAATCCCCCACCAGATTAAAACTTGTGGGACAGTTTATGCATGGTAAACAGAACCAAACATCACCTTTGCATCCTTTTTGTCTGAGCTCTTTTGTGGAGTTGTTTTGATTGGCCAATATTTAATGTGGAACTTGGAATCGGTTATAATAGGGAAGAAATACATGTCAGCAACTGCAACTTGGTTGAGTTTCCTCTGTAGAAAATTTAATTAATAATGTTAAACCATAATAATTTTGTAACCTCCCGCATATGTAAAAAAATGAAATGTGTGCAATGCATCACACAACTTTTACCTCCCACGGCCCATTTAATTGAAATTAATTTTCTTAAGTTAAAAAATCTTAAGCATATTACTTTAATTATAATTTTGGATTGATGGTTGACTGTAGTGAACAATTGAAGAGAAGATTGGTTGGGGTGTTCAGTAGAAAAAATAAATAAATATAATTTATTTATTTTTACATTTTTTTTTTTACTGAACACCCCAACCAATCTACTTTAATTATAATTACAAAACTAAGACAATTAATATAAATTATAACAATTCTGTGCATTGCATATTTTTGGTTTGCCAAATTGAAAAAAAATTAGTTTTTCATTTATTTATTATGGAAACGTTTATTACCCATTCAATAATATAAAAAATATACAATATTAACTACAACAATTAAAAGTCATCAGTTTTTGTCACTTCTATGATATATGCTACATATTCATTTTTCTACAATTTTAAGCTTTCATAAGGTAAAC